CAATGAGAAAATCTGGGCAACGGAGGTTTTGCTGAGATTGAAGGTACTACAATGACTACTTTAGTCTTTACTGTACTCAGCATTTATCGCTTATCTCGCGGTGTTTAGTACAAATAGTGCAATCTATCTTCTTATGGCTTGGGCAAAAGCCAATGGTATTCCTTCGCCTCCGAGAGCATTTTTGTTTTAAGGGCTTATTGCTATTAACCCTTGCCTTGATGTAGCGTCAATACCATCTCAATAAATTGGTTTGGGTTCTACTTCGTCAGACGCAACACCAGCTTTTTGAGCTGTATGCGTTCACACCTTTCTGTTTTGTTTTACGTACAAAATTAAATTAAATTAAATTAATTTTATATCATTTCATTACATTTAGATTTATTGATTTTTTAGTTTCACTAATTTATTTTACCTTAGCTTATTTTTATTTTACTTAATTTCATTTTTATTTCCATTCCATTCAATTCCATTACACCTGATTTCGTTACATTTATATTTCTTCCCGTACCGTTTCATACATTTCGTTGCATTCCTCTTTCTTCTCTTTTTTCTTTTTCGCATTATTTTAATTAATTTCAATTCAATTGATTTCACTACTCTACATTTTGATTCATTTTAATTAATTTATTTATATTCCATTTCATTCCGTGCTTTCTTTTTTTATTCAATACCTTTCCGTTTCATTTCTTTGCATTCCTATCCATCTTTCTCCATTTGATTTATTGCGATTTCATTTTATTATATTTCCATTTTATTCCCTTCAATTAAATTTTTTATTTTATTTTACCCTGCGGTCTTTATTTACACCTATTATATCAACGTAAATATTACCATTGCTATTTCAGTATAAAATATTACTTAATTAAAATTTGAAACATAATATTTTTGAGTGCTGCAAGCAAAGTTTTCTTTATGTACAAAAACCATACAGCTATTGATTATACTTTTGCATTTCTTTAGTCGAATTTTCGTTTAACAACAATTCATTTGCATACTCTTATATAAATATGTATGTAGGTATGTACGTCCACAACCAACTTCACTTTTGTACAACTGTGCGCATACACACATCCACATGTGCACAAATAATACCTGCTGCTTAGATAAATCACATTTTGAAGCCAACTGAATTGTGTGTGACGAGATATTTTAAAATGATTGATGAAATTTGCATTTTGAAAATTTACGTGCCACTGTCAGACCTTGGTTAGTAGTTGAAAATTTTCGGTTTTCTTTTTCAGGTATGTTATTTATCTTGCCATTTGTGCTTTCAGAATCAATTTGAAGCCACTTATCAATTTACATCCTCTCTGTATGTTAATTTTCAATTTATTATTTGCTTTTTTGGCTCTTGCAAATACTGATATTGAAGCAGGTATGCACCTGAATTTACTATTATTTAAGCAATGATTGATTGCAGATAGCAGTTGACAAATGGTTATCGAGCAGATGAATACTGTTACGGAAATTTGAGAATTTCATTCCAAATAATGTTTTTTCTTCCACTCACCCGCCGATTTATTTTCTAGGTAATCAATTATCGTTAAAATATTTTGTAAGTAAGCATAAAGTATAAAGGGACTAGCTGGCTTAACTTATCTCTCCTCGTCGATCACAAATGTTGCTATTAAATTTATAAAAGGTAGTAGCCACGCCTAGTTTAGACTCTTGACTTTACCAAGGCATAACTACGAGTAGCTAAATTTTATTTAGAATAATCTGATCCCATAATTTATAGTAGCATTCGATTACCACCTCTCGATACTTCTTAATGAATTTAGGTGAAAAACCTGCAGTTGCATTTGCAAGATATTGGCTGTCAGCTACGCTATTTCTCTCGCGGTGACAATACCACTTATTTTTATTTGTAAAGCAGCTTGGAAACCTGATCCGGCCAGGATAAAAGGTGAATTGTTTAAAGAGAAATAATGTATTGTTGGCTCTTTTGGTGTTGGGCATTATTATGAGCAGAAAACTAACGTGAAGGGTCAATGAAGAAGGAGGCACTTTAAAGACTATAACTGCTCTTTACACCTGGAAAATCAGTTGTAGGGGATAAATGGATGTACACAATGGTTGTATGTCCCATTTTGTTTTCTGTGATTGCAGCCCTGCTTTGTTTCACTTTAAACCAGAGGATTTGTATCTATTTAGACTACACTGTATCGCCCTTTGGTCAGAGGAGTTATTTTCACACAAGAATGACCTCTACTAGCGATTGGCAAGACAATCTGTGATACGAAAGAGAAATGTGATGCGATGTGTTTGCCTATCGCATCGCATTGCTCTTTGGTATCGCATTATAGAGCAGCTCCCCTGATCTTGGATCTTTAAAATTGCGGGCTCCAAATTAGACGAGGAAGCGAACCTAATTTTCTGTGATCATTTGGGGAATGATTTTATCGAAAGGGCTGACTTTATCGCGCACGTAGGATACCACAAGACATAGGTGAGGAACAAGTATACTTTTTTCGGCTAGAGCGATCACTGTTTCGATATATTATCGTGGCTTTTATGTACTTCTGCTTCAGTCGAATGACTTCTGTCGTAATTTGGGGAGATTTATACGATGTGTCTACGATTCGTAATTCGCTCTTCAACAATTTCAATTTATATAGAGAATATTTTATTGATATTATTCTATAACTAGAAAAAGTGCCAGCAAATGGGACCAGGCCCACTTCGGTATATATATTCGTTCGTCATTCGCTCTCAAAATTTTGTATGGCGAATTACGTAATTCGGATGGTAATTGGCAAGGCGAATGACAAATGGGAGAGCGAGTTACGAATGAGAGAGCGAATTTAGAATCGTGGAATATATAGACATTTGTAATTGATTTACCATACTTACCATGCACGATTCACTCAAAAAAGAATTGAATCACCCTAATGCACTTATGGAACTACTACAAAATTTTCTTTTTAATCCAGAAATGCTCCTAGAACATTTATATGCATTTCCGTATCAAAACAAATCAAAAAACTATGTCTCTTACGTTTTTTTTTGGCGGCTGGGACTCTATATGTTCAACCAGTAATGCATGAGCACCTTTCCAGCAGCTGTCAAATTTATTATATTTCCAAATCTCAACCACTTAACATTCAATCAATGCATATTCATATTCTGAGTGGCCAAATTAAATCAAATTTTCAACAGCTTTCATTTTTCAAGCACCACTTATCTGAGTCAAAGCCTGTCCAAGTGTCAAAAGCGAAGTAAATGGAAATATTCGAGCGAAGTATGTATGTGTGTACTTGGCCATGCAAACGTTACTATGCAGCATATTTCGCCTTCTGTGCCTTTACACACTTTAATGCAGCACTCAAATGATGGGTTAAGAGAAGTTTTTGTTTTCTTTGCGCAAAAATCAATTCCGATAACAGTTTTTTTTACTGATACCTTCAATCCACATATGCTTAACTATGAATGTGTGTTTGTATGTAAGAAGCGATCAACTGTTTGTGTCACTCAAAAATTGCAAGTCAATTTATTTTTATAGTCCCCGATGTGCGGTTAGTAAGCACTTCAATGGTTTTAAATTTCATTTTCTGCTATGTTTTTTATTATTTATATACGAGTGGGTGTGATGAACGAAATAAATTTTGTTTAGGTATAAATGTTTATTTTTATTATACCATTCCCATTTGAAATACATCTTCCAACACAATGGCGCTTAAATGCATGAATATATTTTGTTTTCCTTTCCTTAATAAAATCCGTCACTCTTTGTGCCACTTATACATTCCTTTTTGTGTTGCCTTTTCACGGTCATTTAGCAGCTTTTATTTTTGGCTACGAATTATTATGTCATTATTGTGAAATATTTGCTTAGCCATAATATATTGGGACATATTGCAGGTGTCATTAAATTTATTTGTTCTTCATTTTCGTCATATCCTGTCAATTCATATAAGTACCCAATGTTAATGAAAATTGCAAAATGTAATGATGCAATAAATTCGTTGGCTTTCACATTTATATTTGAAAATCGATTGGTTGCGGTTAAGCTATTTATTGTTTTCAATTTAGTATAGGGTAACGTCATGGGACGACGTTGCAAGAAATGAATAAATTTGATCGATAAAGCATTCGAATGAAAGTACTTCCCGCAAACCAAGGCGAATTAGTATAAGGTGATAGCAGGAGTACAAAAACAAAAATTTACATGTATTTTGTTTTTGCTTTGGCGGCATAAACTGACAACAAATTGAAACGATCGGTTGAGATTTCAACGTGTGTCGCGTGGTTTGCAAACAGATCGAAGGTTGACCAAAAATGTTCACGTCTAACAAATTAATTTTAAATAATAAAAATATTTATGAAAGATCTGGCATCTTCCAATTATTTTGTTTTGCTTGGCTGTTCATTTTCGGTTCAATAAAACATTAAAATTGCATATTTCAAACATCGTTTTTAAGGAAGATTTTGTGAATTTGCGGGGGTTGCGGTTTTACCGGGAGTGTCGGGAAAGGATTTTGGTCCCGTTCCGCTCGTTATATTTTTACAGATCTTCCCGATACCGCCCATTCCGGCCAATTTTAAATCAGTGCCGCGGGTCCCGCTATCCCGCGCCCATCTCTATGTCACACGTTGGGGTATTTGCAAAAATTTGCAAATCGTATCGCAATTGTGTGAATACAGAAATATGTTTCTTTATCCCAATAACGAAAAATAATTTGTTGAAATTTTTCAATAGAAGATTGCTGTATTG